GAGCGGGTTCAGGTCCCTCCCTGCGGCCCTGGTTGAGTACGTCATATGACACTCAGGCAGAACCGCCAGCCAAACCAACAAGGTCAGCCCCAACCCCTTCGAACCCTTTCACCATCGGCGGCCTTAGACTAGAGGTCGAAGAAATATCAATGAACCCATAGGCCCAAGGAGCAGTGGAAAACAGCAGTTTGAATAGTTGAGTGCCTTCATGCGCAGTGCAGCCAAGGTACAACCCTTCCGGAACGGCAGCGCATGGGAGCCGCGAGCTGGTGCAGCAAAGCAAACAAGCAGGAGGCGCCTAGCTGATCTTTGCTACAAGCTTGGCACACAGTTTTGGGAGTTCCGGTTTAGCGCTTGCGGTGTTGTTTGTTGAAGCTGCCGGGGCGGCTTCACAAGGTAGAGGGCAAGGCTAAGAGCAACGAACTTGAACCCGACGCCTTTCATGCTGGAACGAAGGCACAAAGCCTCTCCAGTCTTCTTCAGACCATCATTCATTGCAGCTTCGGATCGCACTTCCGAGCCCTTCGTACGTTAAGTCCTGAAGCTCTGCAAGCCCTGACAATCCAGCCGACCTTGAGATCCTCGGCCTTCGCTTTTGCGTACCATTCATGGCATATCGTGCACAAGATCTTTCGAAGCCCTCGCATGAACATGCGAGCATTGTGTTTGTTGACTGAAACGGAACGGAATCCAGCCTTCAGAACAGATCTCTCGATGTGGAGGACTTTTAGCTTGTGAAATCGCAAGAAGGTCTCTCCTTGATTGGGCGTGCCAAGACGACGCTGCGACAAAAGCTCCACCTCATCGGCCGGGGGCCTTAACCAAGTTTCTGATATCTATGCATATCTACCTGTACAGACATGGATGTCTTGCTGTGTGTATATCTAGAGGTTTATATATGTATGTACATGTATATGTATATGTATGTGTACATACATGTATACCTACATATACACACACGTAAAGACAGCTTGGCATTAATAGGTCCTGCATGCGGAAATCAGCATGGTCATGGATCTGGCTATGCCCAAACGCGGCTGCGGATACTATAGTATTGGTCAGGCCAGCCTTTCCTTTGAGTCCTTCTTGGCATCTGGCCAGAAGCATACACACCCGAGCACGCGGACAGACGGACAGACAGGCAGACGAGACGAACAGACAGGCGTCCGAACAGGCGCGCAAACAGACACAATGACAGACACGGAGACAGAGACAGACAGACACGCAGAAAGAGACGGACAGCCAGACACACAGACAAACAGACGTCTTCTGATCAATTTGGGCGCTGCGAGTGCTACTACGGATTCGGATGGATCATTGCCCTTACCAAGTCACAGATCCTCCGGACCTACATACTGCAAACAGTGATGAGATCCGAACTCGAGGAAAAACTCCATATAGAGCCTGGCACGACCCCACGAGATCGCACCGTGCAGGCCGTCTCGACCGAACTGTCAGCGGCCTTTCCTTGCTGGCCAGGGACCCCGAGACTGCAACCGCGCCTCGGCAAGCTCTGTCTAGCAAGTTAGGCTCAGGATGACTCAGGTTTAGGTTTCGTCGGGTTTCTCAGCATCAAGCACACCCGTCCAAACGAGTGTCCTGCTTTCTGCGAGCAGCTTATTCTAGTGAGGTCTGGCTGTCGGAAGCCAGACAAGCCCGCTTTGTCTTGGCATGGCGCCTGATAAGAAGCCAGGTGCTGGGCAACGCCAATGTCTCCAAGGTCTACTACGCGTCGGCGACCCAGTTGGCGGCGTCCTTTTGGGGTCCCAGGAAGCGAGTGTTTTCGGGGGCCTCTACAAGTCCTAACGGGGAGGACTTTGAGCTTCGAATTCCGCCTGAGGCTTAGAGAGAAAGGAAGTTGGATTGCTTTAGACGTTTCGAACTCGGATGCCTGTAACGTCAAACTACTGGCTCGAATCAGGCGAAACATGATTCCTTCAAGAATTTTCGTCCGGTTTCGGGGTAGATTGCCAGGAAGAAGAAACCGGTCCCCAAGTCCGTGTTGCCAAGGCTTTGCCGGAACAGTGGCGAAGAGTATCTGAATCGGGGTGACACGGCTGTTAATGTGGCTTCAAGGTGTGCAGATTGTAGAGTTTCAAGCTCAAGACTGAAAGGATCGGGCTCGGAGGTCATGTCCGCCCGTCTTCTCAACAAATCTCTACTCTTTCTGGGTCCACACGTATTGGAGAAATTCGAATTCGCGACGACTCAAGCCACATGTTTGGATCCCCAGCGATGTTTGAGGAAGTTCCCAGATTTATGCTTTGATGCACCTCAACAGACCCTAGCATCCTTCAACAGTCTGTTGCGGGGCCATAAAGATTCGACATCAGGGCTTTCATCGTGGGCCCCTTCCGGGGTTGTATAACAACCCTGGGTTTAGTCTTGGTTGGTTTTTCAATCACTTTCTGCGGAATATCGGTGACACGAAAAAGCGATAACGCCATAATTATGGAAATACCCAGCGAGGAGCCACAACTCAAGACGAGGCATTTCCAGTACTACAGTTGTACTGCAAACTTTCCAGTACTACAGTTGTACTGCAAACCAGCACAGTTCAGCCGGTACCCCAAACGAGGGATCTCCAATACTAAAGTTGCATTACAACCCAGCACAATCCAGCCATGACCCAGAACGAGGTATTTCCAGTACTAAAGTTGGACTAAATCCAGGCACAATCCAGCCAAGAGCGAAAATGATTCACCGTACCAAAGCTGTACTAGCATCAAGATTGGTTGTTCTGGTTGGTACAATTATGACAAGAGGTTTTGCGGTGAAAACGTGTTTGTCGCTCTGAAATCCAGAAGCTTTTTGAGACCGCGCCCCTGTTGGAAAAGTGGTCGCTGTTGGACTGCAAGAAACCAAGTCTGAAGGGATGTGAAGAGGACAGTTGAGAGTTGAGAGTTTCAGCGAGCTTGGCTTGGGCCTCTTCGCGTCAGCGCAGGGCCTTTCTGGATCGACCGGCCGCTGCAAGACAAGAGGTTGGCAGCACAAAACGCATCGGAATTGTACTTGCTCCCGACCTGCCCCAAAGCTCTTTCAGGCCGTTCGGTCGATCGAGAAAGGAGAACTTGAAGCTTGGCATCCAGGGCCCTGGTCCAGGGCAATCAGTGTTGGATGTTTCGGTGTCTGCTGGGCTTCTGTGTTTTGGCCGATCGATCGCGTGTTCCAAAGACTCCTGTGGGTATCGATAAAGTGTAGACGGCAACAGTTTTCGACAGTCCGGTTTCTTCCGACTCTGAACCTCAAACTTCAAAGGAACTTTTTGAGGCCCATAGCTTAGGTAGCCCCTGACCTTCAGACTTAAACGGAAAATCGGAGCGTTCGTGGTTGAATGCGCTCGCCCAACTAGCAGGTTGGTAGTTTATGACCTTCGAGGCTACACGCAATTGAACCGAAAACAAGCTGTTTGTGTGTACTCGTGTTGCGCGCTGAGGATGTTTCATTTTGGGCCGGACATGCATGGGGTTTCACCTGAAAATGTAATCCAACCCCAAAATTTGACTCTCGACCCCAGAACCTGGAATCCCGATATGCTGGCGACCGCCCTTTAAGCCCTTTACGACTTCAGGAAGCCGAGTCTGACAGAGGCAGAGGTCCTGTTCGGCAGCAAGGATCCCGACTGTTGCCTCGTCACTCGTCCTTGCCTGTCATTTTACATCAGGCACTGGATTCAGGGCATTTCGGCTCTTCTGGACACGGGACATTCATTGAGAACGTTCACTGGCATAGTCCTGCTGTAGTCTGTCCATTGTCTTTGATGGAGCACGAGCACATTGCATTGTACAAGTAGTACAAACTGAAGTGTTTCTTGGTGGATAGCTGGGCCTCGAGCAGCAGTTTTGGGCCTCTCTGACTCTGACTCTCTCTTTCTCTCTCTCTCTCTCTCTCTCTCTCTCTCTCGCTATTGCGTCAAGGTTCGCGTTGCACCGACAACTGGCCGGTACCACCAGATTCGCCGTCACCTGCGCGGCTTGGGCATAAGGTGCTGGTCGTTGAAGGGTGATTGCATGATTCGGCCACATGTGCTTTCCACTGGAGCACGCCTGCGCACAAAAGGGGGGCGACGAAGCGAAGTTCGAGTCAGGGGTGCCTCCTAAAGAGCTTCAATGTGCCACTTTGGTATGGCTCAGTATCGTGCATACAAAAGTTCGAAGAAGTGAGTTCTTTAACATGCCACGAGCACCGTGGTCTGTGGACAGGCGAGCTATTCGAGCAGTATCGATTGACACTCCTCCTTGGACGAGTTTGAACAGTTGAGGGTTGTGTGTTCATTCGGCCAGAAATCCAAGCTGGTTTTGATTGTGTCTTCAACACTGCACCGCACCGTACACGCAACTATCCACAGATAGGCTCCGATTAATTTTAAACGCTTCGGCGTCGTCCGCCTCGGCCCGGCTGTGCTTGAAGCAGGTGCATTGTTTCGGCAAGCCGCAACCCGAAAGCCTTGCAAGGCCTTAAACCCGGAACTCTAAACCCCAAACCTTAACTAAAACCGCGGCATAGAGGGAGAAAGCGCAGCCCGCATGCCATGGCATCGGAGGGTCAGCAAGCAGGGCAAGAGGAGCAGGGGTTCACCAGCCGAGGGAACCTTCAGGCGCAGCAACCATGCAGTCTCAGTATGCAGCGCATGACCTCTGCGCAAGTCTTCTGCATAAATGCGCGGTCGTCTGGCAGGCAGGGGCGAGGAAGAAGGGGACGGAGGGGGAGTTCCTGGGGAGGGGATGAAGAGGTGGGGCATAGAGGGAATCCGTATAGGAACCTGTGACTGCTTCGGCCGGGGCCGAGGTGAGCTTAGCTCCAAAAGCGCAAGCACCCCTTTTTAGGCTACTAACCTGCAGGCTTCAATCTGAATAAACCCTCGAAGTTGAGAGCCCGTGGCGCGCTCCACAGTTGAAGTCATGCATATTTCATGTGCGAACTACTGGCATCACCGAACCTTTTCACTGACGGGCTGAGCAAGTGCTTTGCATGGCCACTGCTCAAGTCCTACCCGATGGATGTCAGGAAACATCTCTTTACCAATACTGGGCGATCAGCAACTCAGCTGTGCAGATGTGGAGTGGTTATCCCACGGGTCATGGCCCCACCTTTTCGGCTTGGATCCTTGAGCACTCCGAAGCTTCAAGGCTCTGAACCCCAAACCCTGCATCTAAACGCTCCACTTACAACCTAAGCTAAATTCACATTCGCCCAAATAAGCCTGAATAAGTCTAGCACATAGGCTTATGTGGTGCCAACAGTTGTGCCAAATAGTCGGGAGAGGCAGGAATGCCCATGTGTGGTGTGGAAATCTGTGAGCCCCCGCCAAAAAAGCAGCTCCCCGAAACTTGTCAAGCAGTCTTCGAGATTTGAGGTTGCGTTTACATCATGACGTCTTTCCTGGCTCTGAGGGGAAGTTATTGTTGGCGGCGCAAGCATCGGCAAATTTCGGCATTATTCCGGTCGATCAATATTCACTGCCTAATTCTTGTCGTTGCATACAGAAACCCAAGTCTAGTCTTCGCTGTTAAGCGGTTCATGCCGTCATTGCTTGGTCAACAAGCTGTCAGAGGTATTACGAGAAGGCCACCCGACAGTACTTCGAGTCGCATGGCGTGAAGCTGCCTCGTCGGGTGCTACTCCATTTGCGACTTGGTCTTGGTCATGATTGGTCAAGTGGCCCAGTCCCTTCTGAAGCACTCCGGAGAGATCAGTCCATTCTTGCCTCGAAACAAGCAGATTCCTGAAAGGCGACAACCACAACTGCATTGCTTGTGCCGGCTCCTTCTCTCCAGACCCGTGACCCGAGCATAACTCTGAAAAGTTTATATGTTGCACTGAAGCTCAGGCACAGCATAACGGTGCCAGAGACCGGCAAGACGCCGCGGACATTCAGCTTGCAAGACGTGAGTGGGAACACGGAGTGTCCGCATTTTGGAGTTCCTGCAAGCAGGGCCCAAGTTCCATTTACGCTTGAGTTCCGAGCCCTCGAAAGTCCTCCAGCTCCCGCATGCATACCGATTCACCTGTTACAGTGCTGGTGACACTCATTGCCATGCCGTCTACTTCTGGCGACGTTCTTGCCTTCCGTGTCTCCATCTGCTTGAAGCCTTGCCTTTGACCCGAACACGAACCTGAGGCCTGCTGATGGACGTGATATGCTTCGAAACGTAGTCTCGGTCAGCTGTGTTCGGTAGAACTTGCCAAGCAGGGTGGTAGTAGAGCCTTCATTAGAAACCCGAGCACTTCAACAGATGCTGAATCACTAGAGGCTTTAGACCTTGACGAGTCAGACCTTGATCGTTCGAAGCCTATCAGCGTGATGTGCTCGAAACCACAAACCTGAAACCGTCACACCGAAAATCAAAAATCTGAACAAGCACAGATTACGGAGCCTCGGCAGGCCAGAGCCTGCATGACCTCAAAGCCCAGCATCCTCGGACATGACTTTATTGAGGATTCACGTGACCTGTCCGTTTCCGCCCAACATGGTCCAGCTCATCCGCTGCTTGGACGCCGTAGCTATGAACATGGGGGGGGGGGGGGGGGGGCGGATTTCCGGGCCTTAAAACCCAACGTGCAGACTGTAAGTTCCAAGGTTTGTTGGCTCATTGTCTGGAGCTTTGTTACCCTTATCCGCTTATCTCGCGGTGTTACGACTATTTAAATGAGGCTCCATTCCTTGTCTCTCGTGCGGTTTCCAAAGGCTTGCCTGATTTCTTGTGATTCAAGCAAGCTCCGGCTCACATTTCGGGTTTGGGGTTTGCAGAACGCAACCACTGCATGTAGCCGCCGCGAAAGCAAGCACAGTTCTTGCTTCCAAGCAGCTTGAGGGTCTAAGGTAGCCTGATTCCAAGCCAACCGAACGGAAGAGTCGCTAAGATGTTGTCCACCACCACCCGCAAGGCCAGGACAACAAACCCCAAGCTGATCACCATCTGACATTTTCAGATTCAACTCGCTTCCAGGAAACAATCTGTCGTAGGAAGTTCTTCGAGGGGATTTGGCTCACTGCCTTCGCTGCCAGGTGATTCGTCTGCTGCTCAGAACGGCAGCTACAGTGAGATCGTGTTGGTTTGCCTCTGGCATGGAATGCGAGAGTGTCTTATCGTCATGCTCGCGCGGGTGTACAGTCGAAATCTGCAAGGTTTCCGGAGTGGGCTTCGGAGGCTCGCAGCTGTTTACCATGGAAAGGTCTGAGTTTGGATAAGCCGAAAACTAAATTACACCATTCAACCCAACTTGCTAACATGACAAAGTCACCACAAGCCCGTGTTCCCGCTAGGTGTTCTGTGCTGTTTTGATGTAGTCTTGAGAAATCCCGTTGCAAAGCGCTCGAAAGTACAGACCACCCGACCAGGCTGAGGAGAAGCTGCCGGAGCTGTTTGCATCCCCACCGGCGAGGCGAAACTTGCCCCAGCCGCCGCAGCAGGCGTGGATGGCGTGTGGTGCCGTAGCTCGATGATGGTGAGGGTGACGGTGGCGATGAGGTCATGGTGGTGGTGACCGTGGTGAGATAGTGGTCATACTGCTCTGGCCGCAGGCACCGAAACGGACGAAGTCGAACACGCCGCGAAAGCCAGGTGCCTCTGAAATTCAGGGCTAAGGGGCTAACTACGGGTTCCAGGTAAGTGCTGTCGAACTTATGGTCTAGCGTGTTGTCGTTCTTGTGAATTGGGCTGACAGTTCCCCGAACGCGTTTTCAGAGCATTCCGACAGGCCGCACAGTGACCGTTTTGGGATGATGTGACAGTCCGACGGGGCTCTAGGCACTGGATTTCCGTGGCCATTTTGTCAAGTCTCTGGTTCAGGCACTTCCACGCTGCTGAACACGGTCAGGCGAAACAGATTAAAGCGATTGGCGCTTGTCGTTCAAAGTCGGATCTCAGTGTCGTCATGTACAACGAAACCATCACTGCCAAGATCATGCCACCTCCTGCTTGCTTTTTTTAGCTGTGACGGTCACAAATGCCAGGGCGAAGCGAAAAAGCTCAGTTAGTCGTACGCCGCAGCTGCTACAGTTGCAGGATGCAGTCTTCAAAATCTCAGGCACAAGCTGAAATCTTAGGCCGAAGCCCTCTAGATGCTGAAACCCTGAACTCTGTCCGAAACCTTCGCACTGAGCCCCGATGCCCCACCGTTGGAATCAGGGCTTTGGAAGCAGCTGAAGACCAAAGTCATCGGCTGGTTTCACAGCTGGCGGCCAAGGTGTTGCTGTGGTCCAACGGTCTTCTTTCAAGCACCAGGGTTTACGGATTGCGCTCGATGCTCCCTTCAGTCGATCCATATGACGCCACGAGGGAGCTCTGAAGTTTGCTGAAAGAGGCTTCTGACTCAGGCTGCAAAATGCGACTGTGCCCAGGTTTCTGCGCATTGGCCATACTCTACTGGCCTAGTGCCTAAGACTTCGACTAGCGACCATTTTGGTTCGCGTTGCTTGCATTAGCACCTGCCACAACAATAAGTTCAGATGTGAGTCGCCATCATTCCGGAAGCAGGGTAGAGAAGTTTGAGTTCAGTGCGTTTTGCACAAAACTTCTGTACTGCAATCAAGGTAATCTCGCCCCAGGGCACCAAACATCCGGGCATGGTCTTTCTCAGAATTCGAAGATCCCCGCTCGTTACACCGGTACTACCTTCCATCCCTGAACTCCACATACTTAACCCAAGAGGTCCCCAGAGGCTAGACTGGCCTAGCACGCCTTTCGTCGAAGCATCATTTTGCAGGCGGCGCGCCCCAAGCTTTGCGAAGCGATGGTGATTCAAGCATCTGGTGATTTGGAGCCATTGGCCAGGAGTGGCTGGGGCTTGCGGGTTTAGGATCTGCCGGGCTAGCCGGTGGATATATGCTTTAGGATTTAGAGTGTAGAGATGCAGCTGGCAAAGGATCGGCGTTGTTGGCGTGGTCGTCCGGCCACTCGACGTCCCAGCTTGCACCTCATCGGCCGGAGGAACCGGGGTTTCGAAGCACCTAGTGGCACAGAAACGCTTCACGTATTTCGAAGGCCCGGCATCTTCCTCGCTGAAATTTACCTTCATTGCGGAAGCACGCAGTCGCAGCTGGTCACGGAGACCGTGGGCTTGGGCTTGGGATTCGGAGTGTCGGTCCGGAGTACACAAGTCAGATAGTGTATCTCTGACAAGTATCCGTATCAGTATCACCGGATCCGGTGAAGCCAGCTTCCGGAAGCACTTGGGGCTGTTGGCAAAGTGCATCGAACAGCAACGGAGCATTAGCTGAGCCGCGGACTGGGTATTGTGGACAACCTTAGATGCTTCCGCTTGTATTGACCTTCTCTTTCTCTTTCTCACTTCCACACCCACGTCGTCGCCCTTTGCAGGGGATTGTCACGCTGCCACATAGATTTGAGGCTTGTTGCCGTCAGGTTCAGTTCACAATCATATATGTATAGGTTTGTTCGCAGCAAGGATTCCGAGTTCACCCACGGCCCAAGCTGCGCTTTCGGGGCTCTTCAACAACATCCCATCAATTGGTCGCGGCGAGCATCTTTCAGCCCACGGCCCTGCAGCCGGAATTGCCACATCACAAGTGATATCAAGCCAGCTCCAGCCTCTAACCCTTGAGCCGACAAAGCAAACATCCTAAAGCGTAGAGCCTTTGGGCCATGTCCCCGTCGGGATGCGATGGCCGAGTCTTCCAAGCCGGGGGCCCCGGAAGGGATATGTATCCTAGGTCTACGTTCTGGGGTCGAATGTAAAGGCGAGGGCTGTAGGACTTCTTTTTGCGGGGCTAAAAACTCCAACACGCCGGCCCCGTTGCGGAATGTTTTGATCCGGCGCCAGCACGATCTCTCAGCTTCGCATGCATTCAGCACAGCTGAAGAGTTGGAGACCTAGACAACGAAAGTGCTAGATTTACAAATTGCGCGGGCTGCAGCCTCAGCATTGAAGGTTTGTGTTTGTCACTCCAAGGCTCAGATCTTGCATGACTGTCTTCGGGTTTGCCGATGATGCTGAATAACTTCATGTTTCAAATTGATCTGTCCGTATCTGAAGTCCGAAACCCCTACGGTGCCGGTCATGAACTACAGCACTGGCTCCCATCCATTCTGCAAACCCCTTCTCCGTGTTCGAGCCCAGAGCCACGTTTCAGCCAGCGAAGCCGCAAAACGACTCGACGTGACAGTCTTCGCACGGACCGACAGACGGAAAGTGGTTCGGAGCCGAAGCCAAGCAGTGAACCGCGCAGGGGTCGTTACAAGCTCGAGCTGGGAGAGGCGAGGGACATCCCTCGGCCCTAGCTGTGTTGTTGTAGGTGTGGCAATGGAGTTGTTGTCGGCGTGAGTCCTGGATTTCAGATCGGTGATGTTGGGACATGACATAAAAACGTGCAAAACAGCCGTGTCCGAGGGGCCGCTGCAGAGTTTTACATCTGCAGCTTAGAGTCTGAGTATCTGCTGTTTGTAGAAGTGTTTTGTGGCAGAACCGCTCAGGCACCTTCTGTTGTGGTACATTGTCAGGTTAGGGCTCGGGAAGTGATGTTCACAGCAGAGAAAAGATGCAGAAGAAACAATACGCTGCAACAACAGCCACGACGATGCCAGTCGGAAGGATAAAGGAAGATTAACAACAGCAAAAGCAAGAGAGCAGGCGTCAAGCCTCCCTACACCTTGACAAGGAACACAGGAGTATGGTTGCTGTTGTCGAGCTGCTACCCGTCGTCATCCCTGCACAAAGACTTTGCAACATGCTGCTGTAAGGTAAACCCACATCCTGCCACAGTGCAATCTCAAACACTAGGGACTCAGATGCTGCAGCTGACACTCTACACCTGTTCCCTGCAGGAGGTGCAAGTGCGCCTCCGAGACCTGCTCTTGCGCTGTCCGCACTCGCCTCGAATGGAAGTGGAGGGATGTAAACGCAGGTCACGGCAATCGAACTCCCCTGTCCACAGCTCCATGCTCCCAAGTTCCCGCTCAAAGTTTAGGCTCGCAAGGTTCCTGGAAGCCAAATGGGAAATGTCCGAGCCACACTTCTTAAGAATTAGATTCTCCGAATTGAAAGCTTTCAACAGCCTCTGCGAAGCCCTGCGAATCACGATTACACCCGAGGTCACAAGCAATGACCAAGGCATACCCGATACCTGGCTCTAGAAGATCGCATCATCGAGGTCGAAGGTAAGGATGTTTAGATTAAAGGTCGAACTCCAGTTCTCACGTCGTTCGGCTGACGGAGCTCCAGAGCTTCAGGTGTGCGGCCTTGGATGGGATTCGATGGAGCGTCGTTTGCAAGGCCGAGATGCAGAGCTGAGTTGGGACCGGTTGTCGGAATTTGTGCTTGTCGTTGGGCATATACCAGTCCTCACCAGGAGAAATCACGGCGAAGTGAAATGTAGGCACAGGCTCGCACATGTTTGGATGAAATTGCATTTGAAGTGTGGCGGGTCGAGGCTGCTTCGACCCAGGGTGGAACTCTTAATGAGAATTTGAGGAGGCCCATCTGTGGTTGCTTTGATTTCAAAGCCGCTGCAGCTCAGAAGAGCAGATACGGCACCCTTATGGAGAATCCATAAAGCATACGTAGGATCCTCGCGAAAGCCCTCGCAGCCCTTGTGTGTGGCATCACGCTCCAACAATTCCTGCTCAGCGCGTTTGAAATCCTGATGCTGCCGAAGAGGTTTATGCCGATCGCTACCAAGGAGGGCAGGTGTCTTAGACTACGCGCTTTACCGGCATTCATAACTTGGGGCGCAAGGAAACTGGTCGGCATCAAGGTTTGGAATTTGAGTTGTGGGCATGTATGAAAGCTTTAACCTATAACCAAAAAGCAAAAGCATATTTAATTATAGCTATAGGTATATACGGTATAATTATATAAACAGAAACTAGGCTCTAGCCACAACCCCGCAACGCAAGGGCCTCGAGACAGGAAGGTTTAGAAAACTGGCTTTTGTCCTGAAGCAATTGCCCGCACTCCTCAAGACATAAGAAACTGCCTTCACAGGAATGGCTTCGGGCAACGAGTTAGGAGCAAAATGGGTTGGTGGGACTTGGGTTTAGGGTAAGCACCTAAGAGGCGCATATGGCCTCATAGGCAACATGCAGCCTGAATGATTGCAGACAGGAGCACGCGGAAACACTAAGCTGCCAAGTGTTTGTGAGACTTTCTTTGGGCTCCTCCATCCATCCCTTAGGTTTACGGATCAGCAGGCCAACAGCATCCAACAGCGCTCCGGTCAAGCTAGGTCATGTGACACAGATGCGGTTAGGCCTGAGTGAGGTGTTCGGCAGCCGATTGGATAGACCGTGCCGTTTAAGTTACCATACGAACACGTCTTGCTCACTCCATTTGAGACCCGGGGCCCGAAATCGCTCAGATAACGACGAAGACATCATATGACCTGGCGAAGAAGCTAGCTAATTGAAGCTACAGTTCAGACTCAGAAGATCCATCTGTCCCCTTTGTGCGGGAAACATTCAAGCTGTTTCTGAGGCCTTTGATCGGTGCCTCAGCTCTCGATGCCAGCGCCAAAGGAACTGCAAATCTTTGCAGTCGGCCACTTCGGATTTGTTGTAGGTACGGTTCAATGAAGGTTTGAAAAGTCCCCATCATAGCATAGATGCCTTGCCGTGCTTGGCTAAGTCCCGGGCAAACCAGCTGGAGTGCATCATCTATCATGCCAAAATCCTCTGAACCACTTAAATGGAACATCTGTCAGTCTTTGTGCTATGTAAGGCTTCATAGCTCTGAGAACGTGTTGTCTACGATGCATGAGAAGGCCTTGTTGCACTACCACTTCATTTCAGCTTCTACATACACTGTGACATGCGACTAGCAAACTAGAATTGTACTCATCCCACGGTAGCCATGTTCTAAGTGCCAGGAGGAAAGCACAGTGGGACGTCTTTAACAAGCAACACAATGCTGAAGATGATGCTGGCCTCCTCCGCTCCTAGACTGTCTGCCACCGAGGCAGCGAAGACTTGCCTGGCAGACTTGGCAACCTTCGATGAAGCAGCTCCAGGAAGCTTAAGATATCGGGTTTCTTTCCAATGCTGACACGAAGAATCTACAGAGGCAGGTAGACAAGGTCGTGCATCGTTGCAGGTTCCATGATGGCATGCCGCACCTGCAGTACGCAATCTCGTTTTACACGACTTAACCCTGAGCGGGCTAGGAGACGCACGGCTACGGCTGCGTGAGGAGGCCGCGCTGCGAGAGCCTCAAGTCAAGAGTTGGCCGTGTACATCTTTAGCTTTGCATGTGGCAAGTTTTTTAATGAGCATGTCGGGAGTTGTACTTCATGGTTTAGGCCGGCATACGCATCCGAGCATCATCCACACTTGCTCTGAGGTTTGCGCAAGAAGCGCTGAAGAAGTATTACTATTGTAGACCCCTCGGCTGTGCGGCCCCACTAGCTTGTGAACACACGTCTATTTCCTAGTTTGAATTCATGGACGCCGTTGGAAGCACAGGTCTGCGGGCAAGGATGGTCAGTTGGGCTGCTGGCCGCACAGCTGCAGAGTCCAGGCTTCAGGCTTCAAGAGTTGTTCGTGTTCGTCGGCACAGACTTTCTCGGTTCAAAGATCGAATTTGAGCTGTTCAGCTCGGGGTCAAGACTGCTTGAACAATTTTCGCACTACCGCGTCTTCTGCTTGCCCGAGCTACAGAGGGCGTGCAACATGAGCCAACCGTGTAGATGCTTTCTGTCAAGGCCTCTGCTTCTGCAGAGGCTTGGGGAGATCGTCAATGCCTGAGCTTTGTGGATCGGGGCTTGGGCTCAAGTTTTTTCGGGTTCAG